CCCTAAACCCCTTAGCCCTAGACCCCAAACCCCTAAAGCCCTAAACCCCAAACCCCCAAACCCCTAAAGCCCTAAACCCTAAACCACTCTTTGAGGAACCTGAACCCAAAACCCCCAAACCCCTAAAGCCCTAAAGCCCAAACCTCTAAAGCCCTAAAGCCCCAAACCACTCTTTGAGGAACCTGAGCCCTAAAGCCCTAAAGCACCAAACCACTCTTTGAGGAACCTGTGCCCGGCCTGAAGCCAGGAGCTGCAATCCTCCGGGTCCGCGGGCCGCGGTGCACCGTAAGCCATGGGAAAGGCCGTCTGCCCGCCTGCATAGGGGTCCCTTTTAAGGGGAGCTATAGGGGGTTCCCTTCCAGGGACCTATAGTCTATAGGGCTCCTTGTAAGGGATCGAGAGGGGGTCGCTTTTAAGGGGAGCTAGAAGGCTTCCCTTTAACGGATCTAGAGGGGTTCCTCTAAGGGATGTACAGGGGGTTCGTTGAAGGGATCTAGAGGGGCTTCCTTTAAGGGAAGGGTTCCTTTAAAGGATCTTGAGCTATAGGGCTTCCTGTTAAGGGATCTATAGTCTATAGGGGCTCCCTGTAAGGGATCTAGAGGGGGTTCCTTTAAGGGATGAAGATCCCTTTTAAGGGATCTAGAGGGGTTCCTCTAAGGGATCTATAGGGGTTCCTTCAAGGGATCTAGAGGGCTAAGGGATCTATAGGGGCTCCTTTCAGGGTCCTCTGAAGGTATCTTTCAAGCGCCCTTTAAGTTTAAGGGTTGCCCCGATACTAAGGGGACCTATAACCCCACTCACAACTGCTCATGAACCTCTGAGTAGCCATCGCTTCTGGATCGAGCCCCTTCAGAGTAGCGACCCAAACCTCTATGCTGGGCTCTTGTAAACGAACTCAGCTTTAAGTTGCCATAATAGTGATCTATACGGGTTCCTTTAAGGGTTCTGTAAGGGTTTAGGGTTTAAGCTGCCATAACGGGGATATATACTAAATAACAAGGTTTCCTGCTTATGCTAGCGTATAGTAAGTTCCTTGACAAGAGCCGGTATTTCATGTCTGCTGGCCTTCTGCGCTGCTGGCCAGGTAGAACAGCATGGTCAACAGCCTTACCGGCGGCTTTTCTGGATGGTGGTTGTTCACAATACCCGTGCCGAAACGCAGGGCAGGTTCTCTCCTGGGTTACGATCTTCGTATCGTGAAGGGTTCCCATTCCCTAACGGTCTTTCCCTCAAAAAAGCGACGAACCTTCAGTGTTAAGCCTTTCGTTTCGGGACATTCGTGTCATAGAGTCTAGGCTATGCAAGCACCAATCGCCTGTTGCAAAGCGCAGCACTGGCGGGATGTTAGGCGTGCACACGGGCGTTGGCGGTAAGATGATAACAGCCCCCCCCCCCCCCAGCGCATCCAAGTGTCCGATTTCGACGATGAGTGAGGCGCCCCAGGACCTGCGCTATCGGACCAAGTCCAAGGTGAAAGCTCCATGTAGTGGACTGAAGAATGAGGGGTAGGGCTTCGGGACAGAGTCTACTGTAGGTTGATTAAAGGGTCTTTGGGAATAACAGTATTTGTGCTTCTTTGAGCTTCTAGGGCTGCATGGAAGTCTATGGACCATGAAAGCAACAAGGCCTCCGGATCCCTAAAACCCTAAATAACAGGATTTTGAGGGGGTTCCCGAAAAGAGGGGGCCCATCTAGTACCCTAAATAGTAGGGCCCGTATTATAAGGGACCCCTAAATAAGGTACCCCTTCCCCTCATGCCCCCCAGGAAGGGGTTTAGGGGTTTAGGGGTTTAGGGTCACCTCGCAGTACACATTGTTGAGAAATCCAGCGGTGATTCGGGGAATACAATCCAAGTAAGGATGATAGCAATAGCAATCCTAGCGTTAGCAATAATAACAGTAAGACTAGTCGTGCAGGATCATCATAACAGTAACAATCGTGGTCGGAGGAACAGCAATACTAATGATAGTGGTAAAACGAACTAATGTCACTACTACATATTACTATAGTAATGATGAACCCCAAGCCCTTCAATGTGTCTAAACAATAGCGATAATATATTAATTAGTAGATAACAGCAGTAATGCGAATCTTAGCCGCTAAACCGTTTCGTGGCTAGCAACTCAATGCTTTGAGCGAAATATGGGCTTCAAAATTAGTGCCACCCGCTGCAAGCTGTAAGCAACACTAACCCTGCCCTAAACGTTCCTAAAGCCTAAACCCTCAACTAAACCCTTAATACCAAAACCATGTACCTAAACCCCTTAATACCTGAACTCTTATTGCCTAAACCCTTGAGGCGGCACTACCTGCGTAGACCTCTCCTAAACCCTCAACGCTAAACCCTAAACCCTAAATCCTAAACCCTCAACCCTAAACCCTCAACGCTAAATCCTTATAGAATGCCTCGGTTGTTGGCGGTGCCTCGGGCTGCTTCTTGAAGTACTCGGGGTCGAAGAAGTCCCAATGAGCTTGGTACTGCTGCCCAGGGCGGTACCTGGACGTCGGCGCGTTCGGGTTTAGGGTTTAGGGTTTAGGGTTTAGGGGTGGGGAGACAGGTGACAAGTATTGCCAGACCTGAACACAACACCCTACTGTAGCCCCTGTTCTTCTGTTTCTGGTGGTGACCGTTCTTGATGATGAGCATTACGTATCTGAAACTACAGGAGCATGGGGGGGGGGGGTGGCAGAAAGAGGACGCTAATCCCCAAACCCCCAAACCCCTAAATTACCAAACTAAACTTCGGGGGTGAATCAGCAAAAGAAAACACACAAATCCCAAACACAACCCCCTGTTTCGAGAGCGAACGTGCGGTGGAAAACGGACAGAACCACGTTAGCTCTTGTAAGGCATGAGTGAAACTATCGCAGCTCCGGCTAGAGGTTGCAGGTTGAGGTTTCAGCTTATAATATAGGGGCCTTAAGAACCTTAAACCCTAAGCCCTAATCCCTACACCTCAACCCCTAAACCCCCAGATACCCTAAACCCCCTAAACCCTGAAACCCATCTGAGGAACCTGCAGAACCCTATAGATCCCTTTAAGGCACCCTTTTAAAGGACCCTTTAATCTCAGGTTGAACCCATGGGCCCCTAGTATGGGCCCTTAAAGGGTGGGATCCTGATGTACCTACTATATACCCTATATGTACCCTTAAGGGTCCCTCGAAAGGCCTAAGGGTCCGTATTAGGGGCCCATACTCCTAACCTTAGATTTAAAGCTCCGCAGATCCGCCTCATCACCTGCAAGTTCTCGACCCGCCCGGAGACCTCCCACGGCCAAAGCAAGCAAGTGAAAGCCAAAAAGACGTATAGGGTTTAGGGTTTAGGGCTTAGGGTTCAGGGTTTAGGGTTTAAGGGTTTAGGGTTTAAGGGTATAGGGTTTAGGATTTAGGGTTTAGGGTTCTTGAAGAAGGTTTAGAGTTTAATGTAGCGGCCTTAGTAGCTTAGGGGCTGAGTACCCTAGCCCAAAAAAGGTAAACCTTTTGGAATCATCGTAGGATTATAAGAGCCCCAAAAGGTTAAAGGTTACCTACTCAGCCACTAAGTATAAAGTTCTTGAAGAAGGTTTAGAGTTTAATGTACGGGCCGTAATAATTGGAATAGGGGTAGTTCCCTTAATTAGGGTCCCTTTTAGGGTCCTTTTTATAAGGGTGCCGTACTATATTGGGGACCTAAAACGGGAACCTAATTTAAAGAACGACCCGTAGGGTTTGGGGGCCCAGTATACTATAAGTGTCATAGGGAGGCCACACCAGGCAGAGACGAAGAGACCCTGGGCTTAAGAGCTCAAGGGTTTTGGGGTTCAGGGTTTAGAGTGTAGGGTTTAGGGTTTAGAGCTGAGGGCTTGGGGTGTCTTAGAAAGGGGTTTAGGGATTGGGGGTTTAGAGGTTTAGGGTTTGTGACAGGGGTTTAGGGCTTCGAGGCCGAGAGTTTAGGGCTTTAGGGCGCTCAAAAGAGCCATAAGAAGGCGTTAGGAAAGCTTCAAGAAGACTTTAAGGGGTTGTATTTTACAAGCTTTATGGCTTCAGGGTTTAGGTTTTGACAGGGCCGTAAGAAGGCTTTAAGGGGTGTAGGGTCTCCGGTGCTCAAGTCTTTCCTCTTCGGGGCTTTAGTAGAGGATCTAAGCCAGTATACGATGCTATGGGGTTGCTTCGGATTTAAAACACCCGGTCGTAGCCTTCGTGAGCAATTGGCTTCGGTTCATGATCAAGCTCACCAAAGGCTCCTGATTCAGAATGAGAGGCGCAGAGTGCAGGAACATCCCAAAAATCACACTAGGGACGATTTGAAATGAGGACTCCCCAGTTTGGGGGACATGCAAAAGAGGACCTACTAAACCGAAAAGCCCAGCAAAAACCACAGAACCTGCTCCCTCCATCCGAATCCCCAAATCCCCAGTCCCTAAACTCTAAGCCACCACACCAACCCCTAAATCCTAAACCCTAAACCCTAAAGCCTAAAGCCTGAACCCCTAAGCCCTAAACCCCAAACCCCCAGAATCCCTAGAATCACGAAACTCCGATCTTTGAAGAACTCAGGTCTTGCTCTGGTGAGGCTTAAAAGCCGCAACGCAGAGTTCGGCTAGACAAGGATTTAGGGTTTCGGGTCCATGTACCCCAAATAATAGGGTTTAGGGTTTCGGGTTTGGGGTTTGCGGTTTAGGGTTTAGGGTTGAGGGTTCTAGGCTTTAGGGTTTGGGGTTTTAGGGCTATACCAGCACTGCAGGAAGTCGCACGAGTTTCTACATATACATATACATAGGCACATACCTTTTTCATCTGGTACCTACACCTATACCTATACCTATACTTCTACTTCCACCTGTAGCTGTACCCTACATATCTAAGCCTGTTCGCACCTATAATGACTCATAATCTTGAACCTGCGTATGCACATACTCTAGAGTATCAGCGAATGCAATGGTTTCGGCTTTCGGATGCTCCATCACGGCCTTTTCATAAGCCCGTTCGATCCATAAATGTAACAGAGCATGTTTGAAAACCCCTTGAGCGCATGCAAGAATACAAACGAAACCATACCTTGAGTCTCCATTGTAGTTCCTTTTTGGGGTTACCTTACAGGATCCTTAATATATATATATATATATATATATATATGTGTGGTTAGACAAAAAAGGAACAGCAATGAGACCATACGTCAACCCTATCCGAGAAACCTTGTTGCAGAGCTCTCAGAACTCCGAATTGCTCGGGCAGCCCTGTGTTTCACAAGAGTCCGTGGTCTAATGACGGACAGGAACTAAACCCTAAACCCTAAACCCCCTAAACCCCCTAGACTCCCTAAACCCTAAACCCTAAAACCTAAACCCCCTAAACCCTAAACCCTTCAAACTCAGAGCCCGGCCTTGGCGGCACATTGTAGTACAACTGTACGGGAACCATTAGGGCATACGGCATAAGAGTATTACTACCTTAGTGGCTGAGTACCCTAGCCCCAAAAAAGGTAAACCTTTTGAAATATAGTAGGATTATAAGAGCCCCAAAAGGTTAAAGGTTACCTACTCAGCCACTAAGCTACTGCCCCTCAGACCCCCAAAAACTAGAACTCCGGGCTCCCGCCTTGCTTTGACCTTGCGAGACGGCCGAATCAGGCTTTCTGAAAACCTACTTTTGTGGAAGCATCTTCGTTTAGACCTGTAGTCTCCAGTGTAGTTCCTTTTGGGGGATACCTTATACAATCAATAATATCAAATCCGTTAAACCAAAAAAGGAACTACAATGGAGACTATAGGTAGCTCTGCAAAAGGTACTTCTACAAGTATGTCGTTGATGCTGCCTTGCGTTCCAATATTTTACCACTGACTTAGGCGATTGCGAAATCCTCCCTGCGTAGGTCTCCTCAGCGGGGAGAAAAGCAGACCAGGACGAGCGAAAGCTCTGATCGCCATCTGCTGGGTGGTTGTCAAACTGCCGTACCTCACCTGAGTGGGTGGCAACAAGCTTTCAGCATAGCAAGCTGGCACTTGGACATCACGTCTCACACTTGTTGATTTAGTTTGAGGAAAGGTCTTGATTCATAGCGAGCTTCATGATCGTAACCTGCGTGGCTTTGCGTAGTGAGCTCGAGGGAGCAGGGTGCAGCCGTATGCGATGGCGGACCGCCCAATGCAGCAAAGTAACTTATAATCCCAAAACGGTTTAGGGTTTAGGGTTTAGGGTTTAGGGTTTAGGGCCTTAACAAGCAGCAAACCATGAATGCTGGACCCTGTAAGCCCTGGACCTTATAAGAGCAGGCTCGAAGCCTCAAAACCCCTCAACACCCCTGGACCCCTGAGCTGTAAACCCTAAACCCTAGGGTCCTAAACCTTAAAACCTTAAAACCCTAAACCCTAAACCCTATAAACCCCAAACCCTATAACCCTACAATACCTTTAAATCCAAGGGTTTAATGGTTTAGGGTTAATCCAAACCCTAGGGTCCTAAACCCTAAACCCTAAACCCTAAACCCCTTAACCCCTTAACCTTAAACCCTATATGTAATCCTCGGAATCCCGAGTGGCTCTTCTTCAGCAGAGGCTTCGCCAGCTTCTTCAGCGAACGCCTCTCCGATCCGTCTGCAAAGCCCTCCACAGAAAAGACCACCTCGGGTTTCGTCAACGTAGAAACATAGAGCCCTAAACCCTAAACCCTAAACCTTGGTGATTGGAACAAGGCTTTTGCTAGGGTTCTTTGAGGGGGCCTGGAAGGGTTTTATAATTATAAGGGGCCTACAGTGCATGTAGGGATTCCGCAAGGAAAGAAGGTTATTTTCGCAAGGATTCACAGAGTTTGAAACAGGGACCTAGAGGGCTTCATGTACATATCGCGAGTACGGCTCGAGGGTATATTTTTTACGATCATGCACGGACCCCCAAAGGAGAATATTTTGTTCTCCGAGACCCGTGTAGTAGCTGTGGTCATCATGTGAGTTACCGTCAGCATTCCTCCTGATAAACCCAAATCGACATGGTTGGGTTTAGGGTTCAGGGTTTAGGGTAAGTTTAGGGCTAAGGGTAAACCCTAAGCCCTGAACCCTAAACCCACTCCAAATTCCGAAAACCAAGATCGATTGCACACGTGGAGTAAGGCGTGAGGAAACAAGCCAAAAAGATGCAGTCACCCTAAAGCCTAAACCCAAACCCCTAACCACTCTTCCCAAACGAGCCTTTGCTAAAAGCGACAAGAAGAGTGCTTTGGCACATATCATTGTACAGCCGTTAAAGAAGGAGCCGTACTGAATAGTACCTGGTACTCAGAATTATCCTTAGGGTTCCAATCAAACGCAGAAACGCTGCCGAACTTGCTGTAACATTATTCCTTGGGGCTCCTTATCGACGCCTTCTTATGATAACTACTTTTCGCAACGCTTGTTTGAAGGCTAAACCCTTCTAGAACCTGTGTAGCAGCCTGTATTTGCAGCCTTTACGAAACCTTGTGCTAAAGGACTTTGAAAGGCTCGTTGTTATGATGGTTTTATTGTAACTACAGTCAGTAGCTCTTTAGCAGCTATTCCAGGTTAATATAGGGGCCTTAATAATCAAAATAGGGTTTTGGGGTCCATTCAGGGTCCATCAAATGTAATAATGAACCCCCCAAAATAATATTGGCAATGATTTAGGCCCCTATATGACTAATTACCCATAAAGAACCCTTGCGGTACCCTTATACAAACCCTATCGGAACCCTTACAGATCCCTTAGGCCCCTACTTGGAGGGTCGGGGGACTTAGTAAACGCTTATTCTATAGACTTATAAGTACTATAACCCCAATTAGGGTCCCTTTAGGGTACTTATAAGTCTACTTATTACCTACTTACTAAGTCTCCCGACCCTCCAAGTAGGCTTTAGGGTTTGGCCTTCGGGACTCGGGGGGAGTTTCAGGTCTCTAGGCTCAGCTTTGGGAGG